CTGAAGGTCAGACAAACATGATGTAGCCATTCTTTATACTAAGCCCGTGGTAGGATTTTATCAGTCTTTTAAGACAGATTGTTAGATGAACTTGCTTGTTTTCACCCACTCTTCTGCCAGTCCCCAAACTGGGCCTCTCTATGCTGTGAAAGTAGTCTTTCCTTTTGATGGCAGAAAGTATAGAGATGCTTTCTGTAAGGAGCCATGGAGAATCTCCTTCTGAACACATAGTGGGCAGGGTTTTTACTCTGTCTTTACAGTTGGAAAACCCGACATATTAAAGGCATTGCCTGCATTTCTCACCAATTAAAGGCAATTCTCTCCAGGAAGGTATCTGGGGCAACAATTGACCTCCCTTTTGCTTTAAGAGCCTTAACTGTCTTTCTTTTTGCCTCTATTTATATCCTCAGTACTAAGCACAGCCCCTGATACATAGTAAGTGCTTAACAAATGCTTGTTGAGTTCCTGACCTTTCACAGCTTATCATTTGGAATCTTCTAGGCAACAGGGAATACTGAATAGGATGGTTAGTAAGTTGAATAGCATTGAATAAGAGAGAGATTTAATGAGAACTCTCTGGAAGACTAGCAAGCACTGGGACTTTGGGGGAATTTTCTATCTGAATAAAAACACAAAAATTGATAAAACATTGCTTCTATGAGTTGGGAATAGAGTCCTTAACAGTAACCTAAAAGAAAGAAGACTTACAAATATTATTCTTATGAACAATATATAATCAGATTACCTCTCTTGGGATCAGTCGGGCCTACATGGATACATGGGCATACAGACTGCCCAACTCCTAGCGGGTGTAAAGAGAGAGAGGAAAAGAAAGAGAAGAGAAGAGAAGGAGGAGGAGGAGGAGGAAAAGGAGGAGGAGGAGGAAAAGGAGGAGGAGGAGGAGGAGAAGGAAGAAGAAGAAGAAGAAGAAGAGAAGAAGAAGAGAAGAAGAAGAGGAGGAGGAGGAGAAGAGAAGAAGAAATGAAGAGGAGGAGGAGGAAAAGGAGAGAAGAAGAGGAGGAGGAGAAAAGAAGAAGAAAGGAGGAGGAGGGGAGAAGAAAAAGAAGAAAAGAAGGAGGAGGTGGTGGAGGAGGAGGAGAGGAGGAGAAGAAGAAGAAGAAGAAGAAGAAGAAGAAGAAGAAGAAGAAGAAGAGGAGGAGGAGGAGGAGGAGGAGGAGGAGGAGGAGAGAAGAAGAAGAAAAAGAAGAGGTAAAAGGAGAGAGAGAGAGAGAGAGAGAGAGAAACAGAAGACTTGTGTGCATCTTTAAGCCCTGCCCACTATTTCCTTTCAGTGAATTAGAGTGCTGGACTTTGAGACAGATCTGGTGCAGGCCTAGGAATAGATTTGGGGGGGGGTCCATTAATTTGGATTCAGTTAAACTTGCACAAAAATTGACATCTTTATTTTCACTAAACTCTAACTGACATCTAGCAATTCTTTCAATCATGAATGTAGGCAACAAACAAAAGGATTCATGGGCCCCACTAGACTATCCAAGGGGTCCTAGAAGATTAAGAACCTGCTCTGTTGGCTGATATGATAATAGCCTGCATTTAGATAGCACTTTATAAACAATAGTTCATTTGATCTTCACAATAATCAACTATCATTATTTTTACAGATGAAGAAGCTGGGCCTCAGGGAAGTTGTGACTTGCCCCAGGTAACAGAGCTACCAAGTGTCAGAAGAAGGATTTTAAACCCTGTTTGCCTGACCCTGGATCCAGGGTTCTTTCCATCGTATCCCAATGCTTCTCACATATTTCTGTGGGCATGTAAACAGAGGGAAAATACTTCTCTGCTGACAAATTCTCTCGTGTCATTCTCTTGATGGTTTCTAGCCAGCTGGTACTTTCCATTTTATCAGCAATTTCTCAGCCACACATGAGGGTTAGATGCTAAAAATCAGTATGGACAGCTTAGCATGAAATCTCCATAGAATCAGGAAATGAACTGCCTCTGTTCCTTTCTCAGCACTTCACTATACCCATAGGAGGACCATTAGCACTGCATGATGTTCTCTGTTACCATCAGACCTGTATTCTGTTTTAAGGTTCCTTCAATTTGCTTAGGATTTCAGAGATGTTAACAAATAATCAGAATAGGTGTGTCAAAACTAAGCTGTAACTTATTTGCCACTGTTCAATCCACTGCTACTGTGAAGAAGTCTTGGGTATTTACAGAAATTTCAAATTCTACCTTGAGGTCATTATCAAGATATAATAGGGCATTGAATGTGAATTGCTTTCAAGGTGGAAAAGTTGCCTTAAGCCCTGGAACAGTCTACTTGATTATTCTAATCTCATCCCGTTCTCTCTTACCAACTATTAAAATGCCAGCACTTTCAAAGGCTTTTGGACCTAAGATAATTTATTAGAGGGGATAGGGATAAAACACTAAACTAAAGAAATTCACCTTTCACTGGTGCAAAACAAGAGAGATCATGGAACATTTTTTTAAATCACAAGAAGTCCTTGAGTACCTTGAAATTTCCATCCTTTTCCTAACTTGTTATGAATTAAAAAAATGGCATAACTTCACTTGGATTAGAAAAACAGAAGACCTGGGTTCAATTCCAACTCTGATACTTTCTACCTGTGTAACTTTGAAAAAGCCAGTTAAACTCCCTGGCTTGGTTTCCTCTTGAAAGGATGTGGATTCAATGACCTATCAAATCTCTTCTAACTTTAGCATTACATATAGGCCCAAGATATCATTTTATATTTGTGACCAAACACAGAAGTCTACCTTATCACCCATACAAAGTGCAGACACACGAAAACCCCAACCCAGCTTAAGGATAAGTCTTAAAACTCTGAGACAGAACTGGTTAAGCAAATATTAGGAAATTTCACAGGGCTTTAGTTCCACTTTCCAAAGTCCAGGTATGTGGCTGGACCTTTGCCCCTCTAAAGAGTGGATTACCAGAAAACCAAATCCTTTCACTGATATAGATGTTCCCAGGAAGTCATTCATAGTATTCTCAGACTTTGTGCAGCAGTGAACTTTACATATATACACATTATATCTGGTATATATTATATAGTTCATCTAACATATAAAATCCTTGTAAGTGACCCCTGAAAAAAGGAGAGCATCACCTAACGAATGAATTGGGAAGAGACTTATCAAAACCATTTGATGTAGGGCTACTAAAAAGATATGGGGCCCTTCAAGGACCCTGCTTTTCCTAATCCAACGCAGGGGTTGGAGAACCTAGGTTAACCCAGAATCCTAAAAGCCCACAGGAATCACTAGAGCCAGCAGAGGGCAGTAGCAGCCTGATTGGGTAGACACAAGTTTGTTGCTTGAAACTAAGGATATTTTGGGGGTGGGGAGTGGGGAGAATTTGGTGTCCAAAATCCTATTCATTTAAGTCCTCCAGCAAGAAATCTAAGTGAAATAATGAAGGGTTAGAGGGAATAACTGGACAAAAGTTTCAGGCCTTCAGAATGGGTGAAAAAATGGCCACAATATAACCAGGAGTGGAAGAACTAGGTGGGCAGGCCTAATATAGAGTCAATAAAACCTGGTAGGATTAAGGCAAGATCACAAAAGAGAGAATAGGGCTAGGTCAGAAACAAAGAGCCAGATAACAATTGAAATATACAGCATCTGGCACTGTGGGAGCAGGTACCACAACTCCCTTTAGTGTATAAAGAGAAAGACTTGAAGTCATAAAACCTGAGTCCAATCCCATCTCTGTCCCTTACTACCCATGTGACCTTTGGTATGTCCCTTAACCTTCATGCATCTTAGTTTACTCATCTGTAAACTTAGTCTTTGACTAAATGGCCTTCACAGTCCCTTATAGCTTAGACCTATGAACCTATAACCTGTAACTCCATAATGATTGTGTAATTGTTTACATTTATATGGAGCTGTTCAAGGTAGCATATTATAGTGGGTAGTGGGGGCTTTGGAAGAAAGACCTGGGTTCAAGTCCTTCTTGTCACATACTGAGTGACCTTGGCCCCTCTCATTGGTCTAGACAACTCTCTAAGACTACATGCAGTAGATGAGTTATCAGTCTCTATCAGAAGAGAAAATTTCTACACTGATAGAACCAGTAGTGAGTGTCTATATATATATATATATATATGGTGCTCTATGTGTATGTATTACGATAGATATGTGTGTGTTTATGTATACACATATACTTACATACATACCTATTGTATACACAAATATATGCATATGCATACACACATATAGATCTTTGCCTCTGACACATACTAGCTCTGTGACTTAATCTCTTAACCTCAATGTCCTAAAGAACTCTAAGACTATAAATTACAATGAATGTATCAACATGTATGAGTAGAGGGAGTGCCCCAAACCAATGAAATCACAGGCTCGATCCCTATCTACACACAAAAATATACAGTTATCCCTTCTACCTTGCTGGAATTAGAGGTATGATGGCCCTAGCATCTGGAAAATCTCATAAATTTTTCTGGCCCTCCCTTCTGCCAGAGAATCCACTGTGAAGTGGATTGGAAAGTGTTATTATCTCCATTTTGCAAAAGAAGAACACTGAGGCTAAGAAAGTTAAATGATTTGTCTAACAGTAGCATCAGTACTAAGCGTAGTAGTAAATAGCAGAGTCAGAATTTGAGTTCAGATCTTCTGGTTCCTAGTCCAGGGCCCAATATACCACACTGCCTCGTATAAGATTTAGAGACCAGGAGGCTTCAAGATAATTCAAAGGTTCTCTAAGCATTCAGATATAAACAGGTGGGTCTATATGACCTGAAGCTATCCCTCTAGGACTGCCGTAGGACCACAAGTCCTTTCTCCTTTCTTATACCTCTAACTACAAAATCCCCAGTCATGAGTTTAGTACCACGGAAAAAGGAACAAATTACATGTCCCAGGTTAAAAAAGACATGACTCTGATCTCCCAAGCTGATTAGAATTCTGGTGTTTATCAGAACCGACACATTCATCCTAGCCTTGACTTATCTTGGTGATAGGTGGGTGTCAATCAGAATTTCTACCTATGTCATTTAGTTCTATCTATCTTGGCCCAGAATGTTCCAGCATGCGGAATTTAGAAGTACCACAGAGAAAGGAATAATCCTTGTTGCTCACAACTTCTCTACTTCCTTGGATTTGTTTCCTTACTTTTACTTCCTTCAATTTGCTCAGTTCTTCTAGGAAAAAAAAAACAAAGAGAATGAAATATCAGAAAAACAGAAAGTCAAGATCCAACATGGAGAAGAAACTCACATACTGAAAATATAGGCATACAAATATGTTAAGAGGGAAGCACTAAAAAAAAATCAGCGCATTTTCCCATGATCCAGTTGACTTAAATGAGATATTTTATGAGAGATCAAGCATACAGCTAATTTTCTATGCCCTAAGTCCAAACTATTCTCTCTTTTGGCTTTGACATGTGTTCCCAGTTCTCAGAAACAGTCAGATAGTTACTCAATTAACGGAAACTCTTCTGGGTTCATGCAATCTGTTTTACTGCTCGCTCCTTAGGGTCTCGCCTTAGTGGTGAGGGCTGTGTTTGAAGGGCTGATGTTCTCCTGGCTTCACAATGTGTTGGTTACTTGTGACCACATCGGTTCCTATGATTCTCAGTTTCCTGTACATCTGGTTGGTGAATGGCTTGCTGGGGGATTGCAATGGTCTGCTTGTGCTCAATGCACAAGATATGGTGTATGGGGTGCTTACATCGCCTACCAACTTCTTGAAATGCATTCTAATGATCAATTCATGTTTGGTGTTAAATTTCTTTAGTTCTCCAGGGGAGTCACTTGGTCAGACAGAAGTTCCCCTTCCTAATTCTGTCTTTCATCTTTGCTTATACATTCCATAGGGTCCAGATTATAAAAACTATTCTCCCTTTCTCATTTGAGAAAGAGTTCACAATAGCTCTATTTAAACCTCAAACAAATGTATATGGTTTTAAAACCTAATGCACAATGAAACCAAGTTTCTATGGTCTACCAAGGAATAGCACGCTATATTAGAAAGAATAAGAAGCTTGTATACTAAGGATAAAGGTCATTGTAAGTTCTTGGAGGATGGGATCAATGTCTTACTCGTTTTGGCTTTGTACCCTCTCATCCCTTTCTCCCAGTAAAGCATCTAGCACGGAGCTGGTGCCCGACACATATTCATTACTTTGAATCTCAAAATAGTTTAAAGTTCAAACATTTTTAGCCACTTATTATATGCATTAAGTATTGGGGAAGTTAGAAGATAAGCCACAGTTCCTGCCCTCAAGGGGTTTATAGTCTAGTAAGAGTAAAGGCATGCTAAAATAACAATAAGCCCAATAGAATATAATCATTGCATTAAAAGAATATGAAATGCACAAATAATGTAAATGAAAAGAAGGCTAATGGGAAGTTCATCTTTGAGGATTTTAAATGAATAATCTTGATTCTGGAAAAGGGATAATGCAACTTACCCCTGACTTCTCAGCAGAGAGACTATAGGGATATATATGTTGCATATACTGTCAAAGGTAGTCACTGGTATCACTGTGATGAAATGACCAAGGATATCAATACAACTTCCAAAATCAGACTAAAAGACTACAGAGACCTAGTAGACTTCTGAGGAAAGCTTCTTTCTGACTACAGAGTCCAGGCAAAGCTTCATGGAGGAGAAACATGACATTTGATCCAGGCCTTAAAAACATCTGGGACTTGAAGCTGCCCATGGAAGAAAGGGGCAAGCATTTATTAAGCACCTGCTATGAGCCAGGTCCTGTGTCAAATATTATCTCATTTGAGAGCACCATAAAGTCACCATAAAGACATTTGGAGTTGTTGTTTATCCTTCATTCTCAAAGAGGATCAATGACATCAGGAGAGTGATGTCTTGACTTGCGAGTAAATTGCGATTAAGTGAGGCAGAGCTAGGCAAAGACTCCTCCAGAGTCATCAGGGTCCAGTGTCAAGACATAGGTCAGGAGGACTGACAATGGGCCAAGGTGCAGCGCTAGACCACAGCCTTTTTAAGCTAAGGTCTTTTCCAGTTCTCAGTTTGTCTGAGGCAACATCCATTCAGTGATTAAAGGCTAGGTAAGAATTGAGTGGGGCAGCTAGGTGGTGCAGTGGATAGAGCACCAGCCCTGGAATCAGGAGGACCTGAATTCAAATCCGGCCTCAGACACCTAACATTCACTAGCTGTGTGACTCTGAGCAAGTCACTTAACCCAATTGCCCTCACCAAAAAAAAAAAATTGAGGCAAAAGATGGCCTAGTTCATCTTTACAAAAGAATGGGGAATACAAGAGACAGATGAATGAATGCAATTATTGTACCATTGCTATCCTTTTTATTGAAGGACATTTGGGACTTTGTTAGCATCAGTAACAACATGATGAGATATTACAAGAGAACTCATAAATATGGAATAGAAGAACTAATAAAAACAACTACCCCTTATAGAATGCTTAAAGTTGGCAAAGTGCATTATTTAATTCAAGCCTGACAACCAACCTCATATAGTCATCTAACTATAGATATTATTATGTTCCCCATTTTGTAGATGAAGAAACAAGTTCAGGAAAGGTTAAGTGTGACTTGCTCAGGGTTGTAGAGCTAAGGTAGAAGGGGATAGGAGTTGTCATGAAGTTCAACCTCTTATAGATAAGGAAACAGACAGAGGTCTAGGGAAGTTCAGTGACTTGCCCAACATTACATAGGTAGTATTCAAGGTGGGATTTGAACCCAGGTTCCCTAGCAGCAGTCAGTGCTCCTTCCACTGTACTTTGATGCCTCCTTTCCTGACTCTGATTCCAACAGTCTAGTAACTCCACCTCCCCAATGAATTTGGCTGCCTTAAGTTTCCATAGATTTTATTCTTTGATTGTAGTCATATTATACACTGTCAAAACACTAATACTCTCTTTATAATAACAGTGACATTTCTGTGAGTAATTCAATTCACTACCTTTAATTTTAATAAAGTAGTTTTGAGAGGTAACCTGAAATGGAAAACTTAGGTGCAGGTAAAAGCCAGACTAAAATAGATTCCGGGACTCCCCAAAGAGGCTCCCCAAAGTAATTGAAGAAGCACATTGATTATTCAGCAATATGTGTGCATGTATGTATGTATGTATGTATGTATGTATGTATTTACTGCTAAAAAAATCAAAGTGAGTTGTATTGTTAGTATTGAGAACCTGAGTGGTTTGGGGTTTTTTTTAATTTTGTTTTGTTTTGCTTTATTACCTTTTAAACCTTTCCTGTGCAGAACAGTAGAGAGAATATGGGCTAATTCATTGCATTTTTGTGGGGTGTTTCCACATGTTCACACTTCCCAATGCTGTATTCTTTATGGGAAAAAGTGTGCTCTGCACAACAGCACTATTTTTTTCCATTAAGGAATCATATGTCTATGATTCATTAAATCCTTGTATATACATACTCAGTGGTTATACAGATGACTCCCAGAAAGAAGTATCTCAGGGGAATGGACAGCTGCCAAACCTTTAGGGCACCCTGGTTTACAGAAGGACCTTCCAACTTGGAGAAATTAGATTATATCACTTGAAACTGCCACCTTCTTGCCTGCCAGTATATATCTCTCAGATCAACAGTTTGCAAAGCACCTGTTACCTGAGGCAGAAAGAAAGTAAATCTCAAGCATTCTACATTTACCTGGTGTTTTTAAGGGAAACAAGGGATTCTGCTAATGAGTGTCATTACTGACTAACCTCACTGAGGAGAGAAGACTTTTCTTTGTTGTCTTACCCAAAAACTACCCCCATTCAATAACTAGGTCTCTTTACGCCATTCAGGTACTAGTTCTAAGTAGTTGAGACTCAGAGACAAAACAGCAACTGGCCTTCTCATACTCCAACATGGAATCGTGCTCCATTTATATTATTTGAGACAGAATGAACAATATTTTACAAATAAGTAGTTTCAAAAGAAAAGCAAAGTGTAGGACACCAGCAAAGAAAGGGATGAGTGACAAGGAAAGGGTCTAGTCATATGGTGAGGGCAGTATATAATGGATAGTCCATGTGCTCCTCTGGGGATGTCAAGGAAGGCTGCTAGCACATTGACATCGTGCTGGGTGCTAAGGATACAGAGACAGAAAGGAAAGGTGTCCTGCTCCTTGAGGAACTTACATTCTATCACATGAGGGATCTTTAACCTGGTTAGGGTTTTCTCCTTCAATCATTTAAAAACATTATTTTGAGAAGGGATCCATAAGCTTCCCCAAACAGTCAAAAAGAACCACTGAACAAAAATAGTGAAGGACTCCTGTACCAAGGCTGAGATAGTATATTCAAATGTGATGAATGAAAAACCCAGAGAGACAGAGTTTCTGGGTAATTAATGATCAATTTATTAATTAGACTAGCTAATAATCAATAAATTGACGGTCAGTGAATTCTCTCAGTAACCAAAGACAAAGGACATGGAGAGCCTGAAAGCTTTAAATAATCCTTGAAAAAGAATTCCCTTGACAACTGAAAATCAATCTTGATTTGTGGATATTTAAAGAGGAGTTGGGCTAGATGTCTTTGGCTCTCCCTGCTGAGAATATGGCTTGATCGTGAGACTCAACTATCTCCAGCAACCTAGACAGGGGTATCCCTCTCCATCCAGACCACTCTGATTGGTTTTCTCATTCATGAGCTAGGTCATCCTAAACTCTAATGGAGGGGTACAAAGAGAGGGCCCCTTTTCCAAGACTGGATTCTATTTACACTCTAAACAGAAAAAGGTCTCCTACTTGGGTGGGGTCTGGCCCCAGATGGAGAGCATGTACCCAGAGGGTTGGGGTAATCTCAATCAATCATGTCCTTCAGAGGCTGACCTTCTGCAGGAGCTGGGCCTCAGTAAAGAAACAGGAGAGAAAAGCCTGGATCCCAATCTAGCAATTGTTTATTAATATAATAGTAAAATAACAAATTTTCTCACAAAGATACATAAATAGAAGATATATACCCCTCCCCTCAAATATTGAACAAAGGTGGGGGTCCTCACTAACAAGGGAAGGTATCAGGAAAGGTCTCAATAAGGAGAAGCTGAGACTTCTTAACTTAGGGGGGGAAATAGCCTGATCTTCATCATCTTATCCTTGAGTTGATGGGTTTTGTTGAGCTCAGTTTGACTGACTGTTTGAGAGGAGATGGAAGACAAGTAATGCATGGGGTTAAGTCAGAACA